AAGAATTGGTAAAGTGGGCCTTTTTACTAGTCAAAAAACATTTTTATGATTCAAAATTTGTGTTTTTACCTCCACTAAAATGATATTATTAAAGCATCAGGTAGAAAAACATGGATTGAGGTATTTCCACCAGAAGCTTCTGATTTAACTGTATAAGAGCCTGTTACCGCGTAGGAATTGAATTAAGTGCTGACATTCAACTATAGAGCCAAGAAAGAGAGTTAACCAGCATGTAAGCTGGCAAGAGGGACGCCAAATGTAACACAGCTTTGCTGGGAAAATGGAAAGGTTTTCTATATTCAAGAATGAGTAAGATGATAAAAGCAACACAAATAGAGAAGGGAGAAGAAGAAGGAAAGGGAAAGGGAGGGAAAGAGGGAGAAAGGGAGAGAGGGAGGGAGAGGAAGAGGGGGAGGGAGGGGGGAGACAGAGAGAGCCTATGGCAATATACTTCAGGAAATGTAGAGGAAAGGAAGCTGGCCATACTACCCAGCTCAGTGGTCATAATTTACTATATACTCAAAAATGTATTTTAAAAGCTGCCTAGGCATCTTCAGATTCAAAAGTCATTGCTCTAAAAAACTATGTGTGGAACATGAAGGCAGAGGTCAAACTAAATAAAAAGATGGCGTGGGGTGGAGGGGTTGGGTGAGAAGAAAGTGGACAAGATAAGTAGAGGCTACAAGGAAATCGACAAACAAGTGAAAACTGATGTTGGAGGCAAAAACATAGATTTCTATCTTATAACATCATCCCAGAGCCACTGGATACAAATGTGAGGAGCCAGTGCCATTGTATGCAAATGTGAGGAGGCCAGTGCCTTTGTATGTAAATGTGAGGGGCCAGTGCCTTTGTATGCAAATGTGAGGGGCCAGTGCCTTTGTGTGTAAATGTGAGGATCCAGTGCCATCTGATACAAATGTGAGGAGCCAGTGTCATTGGATACAAATGTGAGGGGACAGTGGAATACAAAGTAAAGTATTAAGGTAAGAGAAAAAAATAACTAAAACAAACAACTAACCGAGAAACTAGACTCATTGATGAAGATACTCAGAAGTAAAGCTACTCAGATAGACTTAAGTAAATAGGGCAGAGACTCGTCATGAAGATGGTGGAGAACATACACCAGGAGGCGATGGGAATGTGGTAACAGACGGCCAGTAAGGAAGTGTGCATTACATAGGCCTCAGACTTCTCTTCCGTGCTAAAAACCCCCGAGCATCCATCTGCAGAATTCTCAAACAAAACCTTGTGTTCTGATAAGTCTAGATTCAAGCAGGTATGAAGGCAGTGGGATGACATTTCCAGATGAGAAGACTCTCCCCAGTGCACGGATAGACATAGTACATGTAGACAGCATTACATAATATGCAACAACATGCTTACAAGTAAGATGCAGACATTAATGTGTGTCCTGACATATACACGATTAAGTGATCAAGTTGTTTATCTTGTAGAGATGCTTTTTAGAAGGAATTTCCAATGTAGATTTCATGTCAATGGTGAAAAAAAGTGTAATACCTAAAAAAAGCAAACTAACTTCTCCAATCTGACATAGGTGGTAATCAAAATTGTCTTAGGAAGTCTCAAAGATATATAAATACACACACATAGGCACATATATGTATATAGATAAAATGGACACATGCATATGTGTATACACACAAATGTACATGTTTGTATTGTAAGAAGATTTTGAAGAAATAAAAATATCAGAAAAACAGGACCATATTTGAACTGGTTCTCTTTACGGTGTACTAAAATTTCCAAATTGTCTACATTGAACATGTAACAGACGGAGACCACTGCTGAAAACCATAACTAATCAAAATGTAGAATTGTGTAGCCCATTCCCAATGGGTTCATCCAAAATACAACCCCCAAACCTGAGACTTGAGAAACTTTGCAGAAGAGGGGCCAGAAAGATGATAAGAGCTAGAGAAATGAGGACTCTGTCGTGAGATGGTTTCGCCTCCGAATATCAGAGGTTACACCCATAAAGTGTGCCTAAACCCTAGCTGAACAAAGACAATAGCGATAGACATGCTGGCATGGATGGGGGAAATCCCAGGAAGCCTCAAGAACTACAGGCAACTAAAGGATGCTGAGAGTGGGAGACATAGTCTTTGACCCCCACCCCCTGGAGAGCACACCAACTGACTATGCAATACCAAATGGTCAGCCCTGAAAGCATACATGTAAGTAATATTATATAGATCAACAAGGTTGTATTTATGTATGTAAAATATATATACATATTTATACATCCATCTATGAATGTATCACAAGAATGATAATTATATATAAATTTATCTATGTATATGTGCATATGTATATGTATATATGTCTATTTCTTCAGTTTCAGGGAAGAAGTAATTACACAAAATGCTTATTTTAAATAGCTTTTCAAAAAGCATTTTTCCATAATAAGAACTGAAGTTTGAAGAAACAACATCTTTTAATTTGAAAGACAATAACTAGGTCCTTCTCTACTCAAGAGCACACAACGAGATACACATAATTCTGAGTAGAACAGTAATCACTTGTTTTCAGTGTGTACAGTGTGAACTACTGAATCCATAATTGTGTGCTCTGTAAATATTTTTACTGACTTAACTGAAAACAATTGCCAAGTACACATAGATCTCTATGTTTTATAAAAGAGAAACATGTATAATATTTCAATTTGTTAAGAAATTATTTCATATGATACTTTAAATATGAAAGGGCCTTAAATTTATTCCACATTAAGTTTTATATTATGTGCTCTGATAAATATTAGCTTAGTGACATGATGAGAAAGAAATCAGTGATCTGAAGTGGTTGAGTCTTTAGTTTGCATGCCTAGGATTTAGCTATGCATGTTCATATTATCATGTGTGTAATCCCAATTTCATCTGGAATTTTCTAGAAGCTACACACCCATACCATGTGGACACCTTGTTTTCTCAAACTAAAAGATTTCTCTAAGATTCAAGGATCCTCCTTCATTGAGGAACATGTGAAATTAGGAATTGTTAGGAAATAAACACTCCTCTAAGTCAAGGACAGAAGCAACAGCAACCATATGCATACCAATGCTGACATGAAATGAGTAGTTAAGCACACTTTTCAGTCAAGGAGATTTAGTTAGTCAGTGGCATTGCACTGGGACAGTTATCATTATGTAGTTCATTAAGGATAAATACAAGCAACTTGCACAAAAAAAAAGGATATTTGGCATGCAATTACTAAGACTACTGCTTTTGCTAAATTAAAGAAGCATTTCAGGGCTGGAGAAATGACTCTGTGATAAAGAGAACTCCTTACTGTTTCTGAAAACCTGGGTTTGGTTCTCAGTAACCACATGACTGCTCATAACTATCTAACTCCAGTTCCACGAGAATCTGAAGCTCTCCTCTGGCCTCTGCAGGCAGCAAGCATGCAAGTGGTACACACACACACACACACACACACACACACACACACACACTGTACACACAAGTACACATACACAAACACATACACACAACACAAATACAAGTACACACACAGAAACACACACACATATACACATATAAATACATATGTATACACAAACACAAACTCGTACATAAACACACATATAAACACATACACATAAAGCACACACAAGCATAGACACACACACATAAACACACATACATGCAAACTCATAAACACACACATACACACATAGGGCATAGAACACTACCGCATAAAATAAAAACAAATATATATAGGTAAAAGTATTACTCTATATAAGGCATCCTGGATTTGATACAATTTTGCTAACCCTGAGGATAGCACAGGCATGATTAATCCCAAAGGATCACTGACACTGGACTGCAGGTGCAGGCTTTGTGGGATCTAGGCAGAGGGTTTAGTGCTGCAGGAGTAGCCAATCTGGTTGGAGACTGATACCGAAAAGAAAATATGCCCGAACTGTAACAACTAATGTGGATTGCTACCATCTTTTGGCAAAATTCATTATCAAATTAGCTCCTATATGCACTGTATACACCCTTGAAAGATTCCTGCCATCAATTAATTAAACTTGCAAATCCATTAAGTGACTTTCAAAGTAAAAAATGACAAATCATATCAAGCATTGGGAATATGATTTCCAAAGAGGTGTTTTAGCATTTTCAAGCTCAAAGGTTTGCATGAAATCACAGATGACCCCAAACCAAGCTCTGAATCCAGGAAAAACAGTTTTAAAAGCAATCAGAGAACCCATTAGAGCCATAAGGGAACATTATACATGTAAACTCCACCTTGCGATACCCATGCCATGACTGTGTCACGACTTTAATATATTTCATTTGCTCAGCTGTAGCAGAAAAGAAAAGGTCTGACACACACTGCATTTCTGGCATGTGTTTCAGACCTGACCTTGGTCTGGACTCACAATTACATTCTTGTTTTGTCTGTAGCCAGGCTCTTAAATATCAAACACGGCTGAAGGCAAAGAAGATGCTGGTCAGAAATGCCACCCACAGGTACCATAATGAATGGACAGGCAACTAACATACACAGATGCAAGCAAGGCTTGCCTTGGTACCCTTGATTCCCATGAGCCATTTGGGTGGGAAGTCTCAAGCAAAACAACAAGAAGCCAATGAGAGAAAGATGCTCTTTGGAGCCAAATGAGGAAGCCAAGCATCATAAATTTCCTTGTGGCCAGTCTTGTGAAGGGAGGGGTCTGAATAACACTGCTGAAGAATGTGGTAGGGAGAATTATTTCCAGGGAGATCCGTGCACCTGTTGATGAATTTTCCAGGCCCTCGAATGATAACAATTTATGAGGCTATTAATACTAAGCCCAAGATTTATCAGATGTGCTGTTTGTCTTGTGGCCAACATAACCTCATAAAATTTGGGTTACATCGAGTTAAAACGGAGTATTCTGCTATTGGAGTTACTCAGAGCATTTAAATCGGCTAATCCTACAAGAACTACACATTTCTCCTGCCTATTACATGGTCTTTAGGGATCCCTACCAGTGGTAGAGGCAGGCTGGCGGGGACAGTCTGCTGCTGGGTGAGGTGACACGGAGCCCGCCGGGGAAGAATGGGTCCTGGAGATCAGTTGGTGACTCTCTAATCCGTCGGTGGCCACTGCAGATAGCCGAGCCTGGTGCACCGAAAGTCCCCGTGTGTGCGAGGACTCCAGCAAGGGTGGCTGCCAAGGAAAGGGAAAAAGAGAAAGAAATGTGAGCCCAGCGTGGAGGAAGACACTGAGAGCAGCATGTCAACAGATCGTGGTGAGGGACATAGCAGTGTGAGGGAAAAAAAAAAAAAGAACAGAAACAGCAACAGACCAGAAAGGGGGAAAATCAACGTTTCATTAGCATCAGTAAATCCATCCAACAGATGTTTGCACACTGACAGCCGTCCCCGCTGTCTAGATAAGAGGAAGGTGACAGCAGGGTGAGCTGATTCAAACTGCCAGTTTAAAGTGATCTTTGCCTTCGTTGACACCAAGGTTTGACCTCAGAGCTAGAAGGAATTCACATAAGCAGAAGAACCACTCAGCTGCAGGTAAACTGCCTGGGAGGCTTGATTCTGATCGCCCTGCCCTAAATTTACTTCACTGGGACTTTGAGAGTTTTGAGGATTTCTGAAATGACCAAGTAACTGACTATGGTTTGACACCTTCCAGTTTTCATACAGTGGTGTGGGACAATAGAGTTTTGTCATAGTCTGAAGAGGAGAATATTGGAGCTATAAAATTCTGCGTAAGATTCTTGGATGTATCTTTGGTGATTTAACATTATTTTTGTACTTATCAACTTATTCAGTAAGAAGACCAATTTTTAGATGCTTTGGAATGTCTTATTAGTTCATCTTGAACTCTGTGTCCAAGAAATCCAGTATATAAAACACAGACAAGTAGTAGACAGTCTTTAAAATACAAACAGACAATGGACAGTCTGTAAAACACAGACAGACAGACAGTGGACAGTATGTGAAACACAGACAGACAGTGGAAAATCTAGGAAATGCTGCCAGTCATCAAATTTACTCATCAAAAGTGCAGTGACCACTCCATGTCACCAGTGGCAGGAATTCTGCTATTTTCACATGTGTCTTCCCAAAGAGACATGGAAAATATGTAACAGTGTCATAAACTTCAATATTCAGCTACTCACCATGTTTAAGAAAATGTAACCAAAAGTTTAATGTTTTTAAAGTTGAGTAAATTTGAAAATGTGCAAATATTCTGTTTAAGGATGTGATGCAAATACCATTCTCAGTGAATGTCTGCTTTACCTCCCTGTTGGTGTAGGTGTCTCTTTCACCCAGTGGAAGTCAGTAGGTCATGTTCTTCTTGAGTTCCTAGCATGAGACTTGGGAAATCCTAACTGCAAAACCACTCACTGGGAAAGTCCACAAACAGCTGTGTTCTGTTCACAGTATGTAATCTTATCTTTGTATATGATCTGAATTAATGCTACTTATAAATATAAAAGCTATAATGACAAATAATTGTAACTTTACAGTTACAAGTGTGTGCAAAGATGTCTTGATTTAGAAAAATGTAGATATCCTATAAAATTAACTTTCAAATAGGTTGTGGTTAGGTCTGAGGCAAGCAGCTCTGTTGGCCATGATAGTTCTAGGTTCAATTTCCAGACTGTGTGAAAGGAGCCTGTTGGTGCCAGAACTCAGGAACTACAAGCAGGAAGGTCTTTGGAGTTCAAGACCATCCTTGGCTACATAACAAGTTCAAGGTCAATCTAAGATACACTACAAAATGTTAGGATATAACATGTGTGAAATGTTGCTTTGTAGCAATTCTTATGTCACTGTGTCAATGACCGGATGCTACAGCTGTGAGAACGTAGGGTACTCCCTCCTAGAACTTAAAATTCTGGGGAAGACCAAGTGGTAATTCCGACGTTGAAAGCGTTCCAACTGGGATCTAAAGTGCATGAGGAAATTCTGACCTGTGTGTTTGCAATGTGCTCTCTCCTCATGTCCCTTCAAGCCCCACCTAATCAATGTGAATGGCTCTGCACTGTCTTCCTGGGCCTTTCAGCCTTAGTACTTCCTGAAGGAATCGGCTCTCAAGGCTGCTGTAAACTAAGAGGAGACAAGGAAAACTGCTGATAGACAATTAAATCTGAAGGCCCTCTCTGTCCTCTTTGATGGGAGGACATTTTCAGCCTGATAATCATCTTTTCTCTTCTAGGATCTAATCGAAAGAGTGTCTGTTGCACAGAGGTATCATACCCAGGGTTGCTTGACAACCATTATGAGTACTCTTTTCTAGCTGGGTCTTTTTTTTGAAAAGTATTATAATTGAATTTTATACTTCTATGGAATTCATATATTCTCATTAGTGTTACATGAACCTTTTTATCTGATTAAGAAATTAAACTTTAAGGTTTATGTGAGTTCCTAAAAGCTGCATGAGTTCTGGCACCACGCCCATTGCGTCTAATGAGTTTGCTACTACTGATATTCACGTTATGTCTGTCTGTAACACATCTTTACACATGACTATGAGACCCCACACATCCTTATCGTACTTCAGACTCTACACAAAGCAGTTTGAACAGTCCCGTTGAATGCTATATCCCTTAATGTCAAAGTCTCATTCCACTTGGATTTTCTCTTTCCTCATTACTGTCAGCGTTGAATATATTCAAGTTAACAGCACACAGTCACTATTTATTGGCTCAGGATTGATGCCTGACATTTTGCTATTGTGTTAATCTACATAACATAGCATAAATATAATGACTACTGTATGTGGAAAAGTGAAGGTACTTTGAAACTGTTAGGAGTATAAAGAAGGTGACAAAGTTCCAGGAGCTTTCTTTTTTTTTTTTTTTTTTTTTTTGGTGTTTACGAGACAGGGTTTCTCTGTATTGTTTTTGAGGGTGTCAGTCCAGCCCAGCCTCGAACTCCCAGAGATCCGCCTGCCTCTGCCTCCTGAGTACTGGGATTAAAGGCGTGCGCCACCACCGCCCGGCTCAGGAGCTTTCATCTTAAGGAAGCAACATTCGAGTTTAAATGTGAAGGCTAGGTAAAGAAAACAGGGGAAGCTCTGTGAAGAGCTCATGAATGCATGTGTGAGCATGTACATATGCGTGCTGGTGTGTGCGCTTGGGTGTACTAACATGTGATCCATTCTATATATGACCACAAGATTTTGAAAATGGACACTAAATGCAACTCTTCTGTCAATGCATTTTCCGCTGCATTTTATCTAGTGGGTTTTCTAAAAGCTAAAATGTTATTGCGCATTGAGAATTCACAATAAGTAAGTTGGAATCCAAAGGCCAAGGTTTTCTTTCAGTGTCGTAACCGCATTTCAGATGATGGAGTAATAGCTGCTCTAAGATTTCTGTGTGGAGAAAACTACGATCATCTTTCTTTTTAACACAGTGCACATTTTATGCTTTCTGTGAGTTTCAGAGAAACTCTAAATAAAACTTCAAAGATTCATTGCTTGCTAACTTATAACTATGATGTAAGTGGTTTGTCTCAATATAAAACTTTATGACTCAACTAGCAACTGCCAACTTACCCTGTGTCTACCGTTATGAATGTGCAGTGCAGTTAAGAAGCAAGCAGCCTTCACTATAATAGTTTTATAAGCTGTGTCCCTAATGTCTGGTGTTTACTCAGAAGCTCTGCTGTGTTGATTAGGTAGCAAAGTGAATTAGCAATCGCTCCTGAATTTGCAGAATGTCACCTTTGAAATTTCAGCATCTTGCTTTTAGCAAGCTCCACAAAATTATTAACTTTGCTTGTTATTTAGTCCCAGGCAATATTTCATTTCTATGCCCAGTAGATATTATTATGTTGAATAATTAATAAAAATGAGATACATAGCAATCTTCAAAATCTCCAAATAACAACAGTATAAAACAAGAGCAAAGGTGATAGGTAATCATAAAGTGTAATACAGCCTCGGGACATCTGAAAAATTTATGAGCAGTAGAATTCAGGCCAAATAATTCCCAATTATTGGAGAGAGATGTATATACCCCAGTTAATTCACGAGTATTTTTAATTAGTACTCTTATGCATTTTCCAAGTTTTCTGTTCATCACATTTATTAGGTTTTTAATAAATAAAATGTTTGTTGTTTGTTCTTTTAGGTGTTTCATTAAGGCAGATGTATCATCATCGGACTAACAACTAAACACAGTCAGCTATATTCAAATTACCACACAAAATAGGACTGTAAGAGGAGAAACAGTTACCTACTTTAAAAAATCACCAACTAATATCAAGTTCTTTTTCAATGAATCATGGCTCCTAATGTACAGGCAGGGCTGTGATAATCCAGGAAGCAACCAATTATTTCAATATTGTCCATTGATTTAAAAAGCTCACTTCTTTTGGCAGAAAAGAGATATTGAATTTTTTTCCTGATGGCTAAAAATGGCCGAAGTGTTTCATGTACTATGTAAAATTGAAAAATAATGAAAGAGAATTTTATTTGTAATTTTAAGTCACAGTTCTGAGTATGAAAGGACATACTCCTTACTTTTATCCACAGAAAATTAAATGTCAAATGGTTCAGAATCTATAGATGCTTAAATCTGCACATGTAGCCAAACTTGCATTTCATTATTAGCATGTGGCAAAATAAGTATCACGCTCCATCAAGGGCAGTTTTGAGGGAAAAAAATAAAAGTAACTTATAAATAGGCTGAGCAAAGTCTATTGCTTTTTATGATTATTGGATTAGTTATACATGATAAATTTATCTCTATATAGTTTAGGGTGTATAGGATCATCACCTACTGCCCCCCCATTGATGGAACCTCATATTTCTTTCAAGGAAGTTATCATGTATCCATTTCATAAAGTCCTCCATATTGCCTGGAACACTAGTGTGTGCGGCCTCACCTTTTAGACTCAGGTGTACTGGCTTTGCTGTGGGGGAACATGCAACTCATTGAAGCTCTTAGCAAAAATGCAGTGTCTACACAGCGTAGAGCTAGTTATCTCCCTGACTGTAGCTCGCTAGCAGGTCCTGTGTGCGGGGTAGGGCAGGAAGACTCCATGACTGTGCCAGTGCCTTTTGTCTGGTGTTGTTAGCTTTCCTTGTTTATTGCTACTTCAATGAAACCTTTTTATGGCTTCAGGATTTTCAGTCACAGTGCTTACATCCTTTTTAATCATGTGGTGGGGTCATTCATGGCTGTTACCAATATT